TGCGTGGATTGGGGGAGTGAACGGAAAGGAGGGGGACCATGATTACAGCAAGTGGGAGGAGGACAGAGATAACCAGACTAACGGGGGGGAGGTTACCTACAGGCTACAGGCCGTGGGGCCTCTTATTTGCGCAGGCTGCTGGTGTGAACTGGTGGCGCCATCTCAATTGGAGCGAACATGGCTTTCGCGAGTTTGCCACTGCTCGACTGTGTGCGGCGGGATTCTCGCATATGTAAGGAGGCGGGAAATCAGATGCACAGAGAGGAGGAGGAGGAGGAGGAGGACAAACGGCCAACACAGGCGGCGCTTGATCGCATTGCCAAGCGCCTTGCTGCCAACTTTGAAAGGGAGGTCCGCTTCGAACGACGGGGCGGAGTTGCGATGGAGCTCTTAGGTGCTGCAACAACAACATATACCGATCGCAGGTGGGGGAGGTTATTGATTTGCTAGACGGTGCTTGCCGTGCATCTGCAGGGCCCTGCCACGGGGTATGATCTGCGGCGTCATCACTTTCGTGAAGGCAATGAGTGCGCCGACCGACTTACTTGGGAAATCAGACATCAACCAGTACAATCGAGGTATAGAAGCATTCAACAACATATACAATACTGAAACATTGATCGCAATCCGTGGTGCGTACGACAGTGGCGTTAGTAGTGCAGGTGCTGGGAGGGGGGTGGTGGCTGGATGGAGAGTTCACTAGTGAGCAATCTGGTGAAGGGGTTGGTGATTGCCTGCGCGCGTTTTCCCGTCCATTGGCGGAGGAGGCTTTTGGCCTGCTTCCCGATGGGACGGTTACGCAGTGTGAGCTTGAGGCCGCTTCGAGACTTGCCCGCTCTGCTTGCAAGATACTCCGAGAGTATCGCGTTTTTCAGGGTGCACCCAACCCACAGGGGGTGGCTGCACCAACCCGACCGCCCTTGTAGGGCCTCGAGGTCGGACCGCAACCCGCAAAAACACCTGGTGATAAGCTGGTTAATAAGATGGCGTGGCTTGAGAATCTCCATCACCTCCGTTCTAGTTTCCCTGGTCGAGACTTCTTCAAACATAAATTCAGACAGAATAACCAGAGGGCGGATGTTCTTTTACCCATGAAGCGCGGGAAGGCCACGAGAGGTACACCTTGAGGCCTGTTGCGCCCGATTACCTACGGCATCATGAGCTTGTTGCCCTCCGTGGTCGTTTCGATGGCGGAGTGGATGCGTCTGGTTGTGGTATTGGTTTCTTTCTCGAGGCTGCTTTTCTCCCTCCCTCATCCTCAATGTCTTTCTAAACGCCTGAGGCACTCCGCCCCCTCTGAGTCGCTCCAACCTGCTGCTTTCGGCGACGGTCTCGTTTGGAGACCGCCTTTCTCCTGCCTAGAGATAGTGCAGTCACCGATGCTGAATTGACCGCGCTTGAGCGTCTCGCTGGGGCGGCCGGGTGCGCTCTGAGAGCTCGCAGAGAGCTTGAGGCGACCCCCTGGGCGTTTGGCTCGGGCAGGCTTCGACGGGGCCTTCAATGCCCGCAAAGCCGCAAAAAAAACAGGTAGACGGTTTACCGCCGGCTCCCAGTTGCGCCGCGCTGGGGGGGGGGCAGTAGGCAAACATTCTCGACGGAAGTTTTGTCTTTATGACATATTTAAATGGCATTTCTCGCAATTCAACAATTCGTTGGAGCTTTAGTGTTTTGTCTCCTTACATGCGATCTTACTTCCGCTTGCCATGTCAATCTCAGGTCGACTGGGTACCTATTACCGCCAAAAAGCATCCAGGCGGGATCAGCTAATCGGGTCTCGACAGATGCTGTCGGTTTTCTGAACTTAACTCGAGCTGTAGGAGAGCTACAGAGCTGTCAGGAACACCTAAAGCATTTAGAATCGTCAGATGCGTTTGTCTGAAGTATCTAGATGTCTGAATTCGGTCTGCTACCAGACCTGGATCCGCGAGACTATTTGTACTGTGCTAATTCTTTGGAGATGATGAGGAGTTTATTGGCTTATCTCGAGCTGCAGATGATCTACAGAGCTGTTTGACACGGCTATCGAAACAAACAATCCTCAGGCGCACTCGTCTAAAGTACCTCGATGCCTGAACTCCGAAAATCTGGTCTCTCTCTCTTTTTTTTTTTTGATGCTGATGCTTTCCTTGACTTATCTCGGGCTGCAGATCAGCTACCTGTTTGCCACAGCAGTCGAAAGTAAGCAATGAGAAGCGCTAGTGTAAAGCATCTAGACGCCCGAACTCGGTCTGCTATCAGAGCTGGGTCGGAAACACTATTTGTTTCTGCTAAATTCTAGAGAGATGATTGTAGTTTTTTTGACATAATTCGAGTTGCAGATGCGCTACAGAGCTGTTTGGCACATCACTCGGAAGGAATTTATCACACGTGCTAGTCTCATGTTTCCAGATGCCCGAACTCGTCGCGCTTCCAGAGTTGGAATTAGAAAACTATTGCTCTACTAATTTTCCAGACGATGCCTGTCTTGATCTTCGCCCTGCTTCTCCTTCTCCTGCTTCTCCTTCTTCTTCTCTTCCTCACCCTCCTCCATCTCCTTTCTTCTCACTCCTTCTTCTCCTCCAGATCTCCTCCATGGAACCGCGCCCTCGCGCGCGCGGAATGCGAGATTGCCGCGCCTCCATTGCGCGAGGAAGCTCCACGAGTTCCCGGCGGAAACCAAGGTTGACAGTTTACCGCGGGCTCCCAGTTCGCCCACCCGGCACGGGCGACAATGTGACGACCTGGCGTCGGTTTTTTTTTCAAGATTGTGAGCGATTTCAGAATCCGTTTTGCGAACAAATATTTTTTTGCACCTATAGTGCGTTACGCCGCGTCTGTCTGCAGGTGTAGTATTACTATCAAAACAGTTGCCGCAACCGACTCCGTGTAATGTCCAATAAACTGATTTTGCAAGATTTCCAGCTGAGTTTCGAGGAAGCTTTCCCACCAATCTAGGCAGATATTCGCGTTTTCAGAGTTCTACGAGTGTGCCGGCAGCAACCTGGTTGACGGTTCACCGCCGGCTCCCAGTGACTCGTAGAGCTTCCCCAAGAGCGTTAGCCGCGAAGCTAGAAGAGTAATTCCGGCGCGCTGGGGGACGAGTTGGTAAACAAATATCGACAGAAGGTTTGCGTAGTTTTTCTCGGTTCGAATTCGATTTCTCGAAATTTGAACATTCGTTTAAGCTCTAGCTTTCTGTCCCCCCATATTCGATTTTATCTCCGCGCCATATTATTGTCAAAAAGCGGCGGGATCGGCCGTGAGGGTCATCTTGACACGCTGTCTGTTGTCTGAACTCTGTTGTCTGAACTTAGCCCGAGCTGCAGATGAGCTACAGAGCTGGCAGGCACACCTCATGCATTTAGAATAATCGGGCGAAGTTGTCTCAAGCATCTAGATGTCTCAAATCGGTCTGCTACCAGAACTAGGCTCGCACAATTATTTGTACTCTGTTAACTTCCTTGGATATGATGATGAGTTTATTAGTGTAACGCGAGCTGCAGATGCGCTAGTCTAAAGTATCTAGATGCCCGACCTCGGCCTGCTACCAGAGCTGGGTTTGAAAAACTATTCGCACCCTGCTAATTCTACAGAGATGGTGATGGTTTTCTTGACTGAACTCGAGCTATAGACGAGCTAGAGAGCTGTTTGGCACAGTTATCATGACAAATTTATCATAAGCGCTATTCTCGAGTATATAGATTCCCGATCTCGGTCTGCTACCAGAGCTAGGTCTGAACAAATAATATATTCGTACCTTCTTGTTTTTCGAGATGTTGATGGTTCTCTTGACTGAACTCGCGATGAAACTGAGCTATTGAGCTGATTGTCACTGTATTCAAAAAAATGATTGAACGTGCTAGCCTCTTGTATCTAGATGTCTCAACTCGGTCTGCTTCCAGAGTGCTAATTTTTCAGAGATGGCAATGCCTTTCTTGACTGTCTCCTCCTTCTCTTCTGCTGCTCCTCACTCATTTCTCGTTCTCTTCCTCAGCCTCCTCCATTTCCTTCCTCCTTCCTCTACTCTTCCAGTCCTCCTCAATGAGAACGCGCCCTCGCTCGCGCGGAATGCGAGATCGCGGCGCCAACGTTGCAAGAGGAAGCTCTACGAGTTCCCGGCGGTAGCCAGTTGACGTTCTACCGCTGGCTCCCAGTTACTATTACTGACGTGCCTTGCTGTGCCTTTGGATTCCGCGCGCGAGCAGCGGCCTTATGGTTTCGCCTTCTTGCGCTCGCAGTCACGTCCGACGTTCTCAGGGCCGCCGTGTTCTCTACTGCTCGGGGTTCTGGACACCAACAAGTGACTCGTAGAGCTGAGAGCGAAGCGGCGGAGCTGGAGGGTAATTCCGGCGCGCCTAGGGGCTGTTTGGCAAAATTAACCTCGACGGCAGTTTTGTACCTCGTAGAGCTCTTCGACGAGATGAGCTAAGAGCAATTCGGGCGCGAAGTGGAGCTAGTTGGCGGACCGCCCAGAACTGACAATGTGACGACCTGGGGTCGGTTTTTGGAAGATTGTGAGATTTGAAAATTCGTTTCGAGAATCCAGATTTTTGATTCCTGCAGTCGATCGTGACGCGCTCGATGGTGCAATTCTCTGAGTTCTAGTTGTCGCACAGCTCTTACAAATGTGGAGGAACCGTCGATCACCGCGAAGAAAGTGGTGACCTGGCGTCTTTTTTTCCGAAGATTCTGAGAGATTTGACAGTTCGATTCAAGGGCTGCTATTTTGGTACTTGTAGTGGGTTATACGTCTGCCTGTGAAATTCTCAGGTCCGTCGCTGCAGTATACCTCGTAGAGCCCTTCGGCATCGATGAGCTAGAGGTCAGGGGGGAGGGAGGGAGGGAGGGGGGAGCGAGGGAGGGAGGAGGGACGGAGGGAGGGAGGGAGGGGGGAGGGAAGGGGGGAGGAGGGAGGGAGGAGGAGGGAGGGAGGAGGAGGAGGAGGAGGAGGAGGAAACGGAGGAGGAGGAGGAGGCTGTGATCGTAAGGCACGCTCGACCTGCCTTGTCCGCCGCTGGCGCCCAGGAGGGTCGACCGGCCCGCGCGGAGCGGCCCGCGCCCGCGGGCCACGGGGGCGCGCGGCGCGCTCTCCCCGCGGGGCGCGCGGGGCCCCGGGAGGGGGCCGCTCGGGAGCCCCCGCCGCCGTCGCCGCCGCCGCCGCCGCCGCCGCCTCGGCCGCCGCCCCGTTCGCTTCGGCAGCGTGCCGGTCGCTTTTGTGCTCCGCCTCCTCCCCGTGCATGTCCTCCGCCGCCGCCGCATCCAGCCGCCTCGGTGCTCGTCCACGGTTCCGTCCGTGTCCCCGCCCCCCCTCTCCTGTTCCCCGTCCTCCCTCCTGCTGCCTGCGGCTCCCTCCTATCCTGGCGACTGGCGAGTGGGCTTCGGGTTCCGACTCTCAATCCTCTTCGCCATCTTTGTCCTCGTTCTTGTCGTCCCTCCTCCCTCTGACATCCATTCGAAGACCACCGATACATGACACAGACATTGGAAACCTTCGGACCTCTCCTGTGAAACCTCCGCATCCATGCTTTTGTCCTCCCTCCTCCCTTCTCCCTCTTCCCCAAGCCAGTACCTGTCGTAAAGCGGTCCGCAGGCGCCATCGCGATCTTCGGAACCCCGCAAGAATCGACAGAGAATCTCCACACTTTTTATGAGCTGTTCACGCCCGCCAGACCGCAGAACCTCCAGTAGCTTGCGCCTTCACCCCCTCCTGCTTCTGCCACTCCTCCCCATTGTCCCCCTCCCTCCTCCTCCCTCCTCATCCTTCTTCATCCCTCCTCCCCCTCCCCCTCCTCCCTGCTCCTTTCCCTCTTCCCTCCCCTTCCCCCCTCCTCCCTCCCACTCCAATTCCCGTCAAGTTTGATCGTCAAGGTCACTCTTGCAATTCTTACGCGGGCGTCGCGGCCCCGCGCGCGGCGGCGGGGCGTAGAAGGTCAAGTGCAGGCAGTGGCACGCGCGCGTCTGCGCATGGCCGAGCAGTCTCTACATATCGGGGCCTGTCAAAGTAAGGAGGGGGGGGAGAGCGGGGGAGAGCGCATTTTGGTCTCCTGCCCTCTCCCCCACTACTCCCCCCCTCCTCATTCCTCTCCTCCTCCCCCTTCCCCCCCGCCTCTGCCCCTTCCCCTCTTCCGCGTCCTCCAGTCGGCCTCCCTGGCCCCCCCTCTCAGCTATCGTCCTCTCCCGGACTGCCTCCCCTCTCCATCCCCTGTCGTCCCCGTCCCCGCCCCTTCACTCTCACCGCCTTCCCTTCTCTCTGTGTCGTTTTCCTTATCAGTGCTTCCATTGAAGGGTCCAAGCGGATTTTGTCAGTATTTGGTGACCGACGGGAAGAGAGGGAGAGGGGCACGCAGCTTGTTCGCACCGGTTCCTCGTCGTGGGGCCTGCCTGGCCCTGCCAGCACATAGGCAGAGGAAGACCTCGTTCCCGGTCGACGCGGTGCAACACGCAGCAAAAGTGGCAGCGACAATCTCGGCCACTGCACAACTCCTCATGGTCAACGCTGCCCTCCCGTCATTTTCTGGCGCGGGTGCAATTGTTCGACATGCGTTGTCGATTGCAAGCCGCGTGTGGACGTGATCTGTGGCCATCCGCCGCTCCGTGGCGCTTCATTGGCACCAGCTTTCGAGCGCACGACGGCGAGCCTCTTCGCTACGTCCTCTGGTGACCGGACGTTGGCCTCGCGCTCTGCGGATCCAGTCGTGTGGCATACGCGAGAGTGCAGTCAGATCGCGAACTTCCTTGCCGACGGCACGGTCGGAGACCAAGCCTGCGGTTCAAGGCTCGGTCCGCTCACAGCAGACGATACTCGCCGTCCATTCGGCGGAAGCCAGTTGTGCCCGCTGTTCGGCAGCCGCCAAGTCGTGGAGGCGGTTGTCACAAAGGACGGCTGTCGCAACGAGTTCCCCGTCACATTGCGTGGCATATCTTTCCGAAGCCTACTCTTAAGTCGGGCCTGTCCCCCATACAGAGGGATTTTCGACGAAAAATAAAAAAACATGCTTTAACAATAGCAAACAAATAGTCCAAAAATAGTATGGGGACTATTTTTTGAGTAGTTTTTGACCTTTTTGGGGCATTTGTGGGGTATTTTTCATTTTTCGTCGAAAATCCCCCTGTAGGGGGACAGGCCCGATCTAAGCCTGCTCTCGTCTTTCGCCACCGCAGTGGTCGCCCTGGAGGACGACGTCCCCTTCACTTCGCGCGCTACACCTGGGGGTAGACATGCCAAGCGGGTGCGCACTCGGCCATGTAGCCTCCCACATTCAGGTTGTGGTCTGTCACCGTGGCGATTGAGGGCGTCGGAAAGAGAGGCGCTAGAGAGAGAGAGAGAGAGACAGAGAGGCAATGACACAGAGGTGAGCCGAACAAGTCATGGACGCCTCGTACACGACTAGCGCGAGCACGGTGATGCATACTCACGTCTGCCAATAGTGTCTTCAGCCTCCCGCCCAAGTCTTTACAATACCATCCAGCGAGAGGGTGCAGACCTCTGACGTCGTTCTTGTTCAAAGCCCGACCCGTCGTTCGTTGAAGGTAGATCCACTTGAACCGCCTGATCCTTGTGAACTTCTCTAAGTTTACGTTTTCAGCTCACTGCTGTTTTTCAATGTCTTTGGGCCCGACTGCGGCCCCCCTGGGAGCGAAACGCCCGTCCCGTTTTCTTCGCGACGCCTGGAGGTCTGGGCTTGCGGGGGTCACGAACTTACCACCCAGACTTCTCCTGGGGTGCGTTCGGGCCAGAATTCCGCGGCGGATTCAGCTTTGCCACAAGTGCGGCCTGAGACCAAGACAGGCCCCCAAAGCGTCAAAACATCTTCATCCTCGATCCTCGAATCTCGATCGCAGGGAGAGTGAGGGGGGAAACCCAGACTTGTCTTGTTTTCACGTCGCGGCGCGGCAGAGGCGATCCGCATGCGCGTCGGGGCGAGACCGGGACGGGCAAACCCAGACATCCGCCGTCGTGTTTTTCGCAACGCGGCCCCCCAGAAGTCCGGACTCCTTCCCAGGGACTGGCGTTTCGCCCCGATCGTTTGTTGACGGCCCCAGGGCCGAAAACTTACAAAAAGCACCTCTCGATGTGATATTTCCACGTCGCAGCGGGGTTGGTCTGGGTGTCAAGGGGCGACTCCGGGGACTTCTTCTGGGGTGCGTTCTGGCTAAAATCCTGATTTGACGGCAGTCGTGGCCGCGAGAACGTCCCCAATGGCCCAACAAGAGCAACAACAAATCCGCAGACAGGCTAACGGCGATGCAGGTAACGGCGATGTAGGGTTTGGTATTGTGGGAACGCGTGGCTCGCGCTTTCCTACAACTCGCTGTCTCGATTTCGCTCGATCCGTTCGCAGATTGGAAACGTAGGAATGTGAAGTTCGTGATTTTCTACAAGACGGTTCCCAACATATCCGTTAATCAACATCGCCGTTAGCTCGGCCTTGGTAACCTCGAGAGGCGGAAGGGAAGGATAGCCATGGACTCCATCGGCGTGCTCGTCCCCTCGGACCGGATCGCCCGCGTGATCGGTAAGGCTGCGCCGCGCCGCCCCGCCTCTCGGTGTCGGGGCTCGGCGCGGCCCTGCCGTGCCAGGCGAGTACACGCCGGTCGTGGAGGAGGACGAGGAGGACGGGGAGTCCTGACAGGAGGACGGGGAGGACGAGGAGGACGAGAAGGACGAGGAGGACGAGGAGGATGGATAGGACGAGGAGGACGAGGAGGACGAGGTTGAGGAGTAGACTAGGGTCGTGGAGGAGGACGAGGAGGACTAGGGTCGTGGAGGAGGATGAGGAGCAGGCCTGGCACTCTCGCCTCGTGGAGGAGCACGAGGAGGACCCAGACCCAATGGTGTCGTGGGACACGCACGACGGAAAATTGTTGACCGTCATTCGTCTTCCAGGGGCTCCTGCCGGGCTCCAGGACCGTCACAGAATGGCTCAGGATGGAAGCCAGTTTTGGGAAAAGTGTCATCAAATCTAAGTGTCCAAGTTGTGGAAAAGTGGCGGTCTTGGGGGTCTGGCGAGGAAGAGGCATATGATTTTGATGATGATGCTGATGATGATAATGATGATGATGATGGCTCTGATGCTGATGACGATGATTACGATGACGATGACGATGACGATGCTGAAGAAGATCATGATAATCAGGATGACGATGATGATGATGATGATGATGATGATGATGATGATGATGATGATGATGATGCTGATGCTGATAATGCTGCTGATAATGATGATGCTGACGATGATGATGATGATGATGATGATGATGATGATGATGATGATGATGATGATGATGATGATGATGATGATGATGATGATCACGATTGTGAGGATGGCACTGACGCTGCTGCTGATGAGGATGCTGATGATGAAAGTTATTATGCTGGGGACGATTATGAGGATGACGCTGACGACGCCTATGATGATGACGCCGATGATGATGATAATGATGGTGATAATTAGGATGATGATGATGATGCCGATTATCCGTAAGGGCTTCGCCCCCTGCCGCCAGCCCCCTCTCTCGGAGAACGGGCCATGGAAGAGCGAAGTCATGAGGCTTTGGCTTTGCCGTGAAGCAGTGTCGGGACCTATTTGTTTTTCGACCCTGACCCTGCCGATCTGCGTGAGGGGTGCCGCCGAATTTCAGACATGTGGCAAATCCCTTTGTGGTTTTGGACCCTGACCCTAAGGATCTGCGTGAGGGGTGCCACCGAATTTCAAAAATGCAGACAATCCCTTGTGTTTTTGGACCATGACCCCGCCGATCTGCGTGAGGGGTGCCACCGAATTTCAGAAATGTAGCACATTCTTTGTGTTTTTGGACCCTGACCCCGCCGATCTGCGTGAGGGGTGCCACCGAATTTCAAACATGCAGACAATCCCTTGTGTTTTTGGACCCTGGCCCCGCCGATCTGCGTGAGGGGTGCCACCGGATTTCAGAAATGTTGCAAATTCCTACTGTTTTTGGACCCTGACCCTGCCGATCTGCGTGAGGGGTGCCAGGAAATTTAAGAAATGTAGCAAATCCTTAGTGTGTTTGGACCCTGACCTCGCCGATCTGCGTCAGGGGTGCCACCGCCTTTTAGAAATGTAGCAAATTTTTAGTGTTTTTGGACCCTGACCTTGCCGATCTGCGTGAGGGGTGCCAGGAACTTTCAGACATGTGGCACATCCGTTGTGTTTTTGGACCCTGACCCCGCCGATCTGCGTGAGGGGTGTCACCGACTTTCAGAAATGTAGCAGATTCTTAGTGTTTTGGGACCCTGACCCCGCCGGTCTGCGTGAGGGGCGCCAGGAAATTTAAGAAATGGGGCAAATTCTTTGTGTTTTTGGACCCTGACCCCGCCGATCTGCGTGAGGGGTGCCACCGAATGTCAGAAATGTAGCAAATTCATAATTTTTTTGGACCCTGACCCTGCCGATCTGCGTCAGGGGTGCCACCGAATTTCAGAAATGTGACAAATTCCTAGTTTTTTTGGACCCTGACCCCGCCGATCTGCGTGAGGGGTGCCACCGAATTTCAGACATGTGGCAAATTCATTGTTCCCAACCATCCTGTGGTGTTGGGTCCTCGTTTTGAAGAGACGGTGCCCCGCGTCTCCTTCCTCCTCCTTTCCTCCTCCGCCTCCTCTCCCCTCCTATCATCCTCATCGTCATCATCATCATCATCATCATCATCGTCATCATCATCATTATCATCATCATTATCATCATCATCGTCATCAGCATCAACATCATGGCCGCCATCATGACCATCATCGTCATCATCACCATCATCGTCGTCATCACCATCATCGTTGTCCTCGTCGCCATCATCGCACGTTTCGTGGCCCCATACGGAGCTCCACCGAAGGTCCCAGTGGGTGTGCCCGCATGCGTCCCGCACACCCATTTTGGCACACCCCTCACACGTTTCGTGGCCCCATAGGGAGCTCCACCTAAGGTCCAAGTGGCGCAGCTCGCATGGCGCCACCGCCCCATTTTGGCACACCCCTCACACGTTTCGTGGCCCCATAGGGAGCTCCATCTACGGTCCAGGTGGCGCAGCTCGCATGGCGCCACCGCCCCATTTTGGCACACCCCTCACAGATTTCGTGGCCCCTCAGGGAGCTCCTTTTGGCACACCCCTCACACGTTTCGTGGCCCCATAGGGAGCTCCACCTAAGGTCCACGTGGCGCAGCTCGCATGGCGCCACCGCCCCTTTTTGGCACACCCCTCACACGTTTCGTGGCCCCATAGGGAGCTCCATTTACGGTCCAAGTGGCGCAGCTCGCATGGCGCCACCGCCCCATTTTGGCACACCCCTCACAGATTTCGTGGCCCCTCAGGGAGCTCCACCTGAGGTCCAAGTGGCGCAGCTCGCATGGCGCCACCGCCCCTTTTTGGCACACCCCTCACACGTTTCGTGGCCCCTCAGGGAGCTGCACCTAAGGTCCCAGTGGTGCAGTTCGCATAGCACCCCTTCACACGTTTCGTGGCTCCTCAGGGAGCTCCATCTCAGGTCCAAGTGGCGCACCCCACATGGCGCCGCAGACCCACTTTGGCACACCCCTCACACGTTTCGTGGTCCCATAGGGAGGGAGGAGGAGGAGGAGGAGGAAGAGGAGGAGGAGGAGGAGGAGGGCGAGGAGGAGGGCGAGGAGGAAGAGGAGAAGGAGGAGGAGGAGGAGCAGGAGGAGGAGGAAGAAGGACCGCCCTGGCCGCTGTCGCCGCCGCCGATGCCGCCGTCGCCGCCGTCGGCGCCGCCGTCGGCGTCATGCTCGCGGCCCCACAGGCGAACGGGAGAGAGGGCCCCCTCCCCCTCCTCTTCCTTTCCCTCCTCCTCGCTTCCTTCTCTTTGTTGCCCGCGCGCAGCATCATTGTCCATGCTTGTTGAGCCCACTTAGCTGTGAAGCCATCCATTGCAAAGAATCCGAACCATCGCGGCGTTCGGCCTCGCGCCGCGGACGACCCGCGCGCGTCGCTGGGACCCTCTCGGGGCGACCAGCGCGCGTCGCGGGGATTCCGCGCGGCGCTCTGCTCAGCGCCTCGCTCGCCCGTCGTCGCGCTCTGCCCAGCGGCCGGAGCCTTGCCCGCAATCAGCCGGCCGGCTAGCTCTCTGTGCTCCGCGCAGCGGACGACCTGCGCGCGTCGCTGGGACCCCTCCGCGGCGACCTGCGCGCGTCGCTGGGACTCCGCGCTGCTCTGCGCCCGCAGCTTTGGATTTTTGGAGCGCGCAGGCAAAGAGGGGGGAAAAGAAGGGACGGAAGCGGGTGCGATCCCCGTGAGGGGCGTGCCGACATGGGCGTCGCGGCGCGCGGGCGCTGCCGTCGGGGTTCCCGCGGAAGCTGCCTGCGGCGGCCACGCCCAGTGTCACAAGTGTTCGGACAGGCATGCTCGAGCCATTCACATTCATATACATTTACACTAGGCGTAGCCAAGATCGCATTCATGCAAATATACTCACTCACGCAGACCCATTCACACTCAGACTCTCTCGCGCTCTGGCTCACCCGCGTTCATTCTTTCGTAATCTGACCTATCGTATTCTTTTGCGTTGTGTACCCAGCCATATTTCGGCATGCCCCTCATGCGGTTCGTGGCCCCATAGGGAGCGCTACCGAAGAAGGTACTCACAATTGCGGCGCTCACAACTGCATATGGTTGGGTCTTTCGCCAGGATAATTTTTTTGGACCCTGACCCCGCCGATCTGCGTGAGGGGTGTCAATTTTGACCCCCCCCAGGAATTCTGAGAACCCTCCCGGGGGACGCTAGACAGGGTGGTTTTCGTCTCCCCCCCTCGCACGTACACAAACAATTTACAATAGGAAGCAGAACGCAGTATTGTAACAATGGAAACTTGAAGCTGGAACTGGTGCAGGGAACAGCAAGCTTAAGCCTCGCAGCCTGATGGCCCCGCAAAGGGGCCTGCGGATATTGATGATGATACTCATGATGATGATGATGATGATGATACTGATAATACTGATGATTAGGATGATGATGATAATGACAATGATGATGATGATGATGATGATGATGATGATGATGATGATTCTTGTTCTTATGATATTGCTGATGATGCTGCTGAGGATGATGATGATGTTGCTGCTGATGCTTTCAATCATGACCATGATGATGAGGGTGAGTACGTATTTTGGCGAAGAGAATACTGATGATGATGCTAATGCTGATTCTGATGATCATGATTATGATGATGATGGAGTAGAAGGTGTTGATGACGATTGTGATGATGATGCTGATCATGCTGATGATGTTGATGATGCTGATGATGCTGCTGCTGATGATGATAACGATGACGATGATGATGGTTATGATGATGATAGTGATGCTGATGCTGCTGAAGATGCTGATGCTGATGCTGATGACCGATGATGATGCTTAGGCTGATGCTGATGCTGATGCTGGCGAAGATGATGATGATGCTGATGCTGATCACGAGGATGATGATTATGATGATGACGGTGAACATGATGATGCTATGAATGATGCTGATGATGACGATAGTGATGATGATGGTGATT